CCAAGACACTAGATAATTTATTAACACAATTAGCATCTGCGGCGGAATAGATAGACGATGGGGGGGGGGGGCTCGATGACAAGTCGACTTTACTCGTGCCGCCACCGTCACCCAGAGACATTGTTTGCAGCCAGGGCCATCATTGCAGAGGGTTGCTGAATGGTCTGTGATCCTCCTTGGGTTTGTTATTATTTATGTATTTCAGGTACTTATATATCACCATCAATGTACGCAGCACTTTACATATATATTGTACATTCACATCAGTCCCTAACCCTCAAGGGGTGTACAATCTAAGGTCCCTAACCCTCAAGGGGTGTACAGTCTAAGGTCCCTAACCCTCAAGGGGTGTACAGTCTAAGGTCCCTAACCCTCAAGGGGTGTACAGTCTAAGGTCCCTAACCCTCGAGGGGCGTACAATCTAAGGTCCCTAACCCTCAAGGGGCGTACAATCTAAGGTCCCTAACCCTCAAGGGGGGTACAGTCTAAGGTCCCTAACCCTCAAGGGGTGTACAATCTCAGGTCCCTAACCCTCAAGGGGTGTACAATCTAAGGTCCCTAACCCTCAAGGGGTGTACAGTCTAAGGTCCCTAACCCTCAAGGGGTGTACAGTCTAAGGTCCCTAACCCTCAAGGGGTGTACAGTCTAAGGTCCCTAACCCTCGAGGGGCGTACAATCTAAGGTCCCTAACCCTCAAGGGGCGTACAATCTAAGGTCCCTAACCCTCAAGGGGGGTACAGTCTAAGGTCCCTAACCCTCAAGGGGTGTACAATCTCAGGTCCCTAACCCTCAAGGGGTGTACAATCTCAGGTCCCTAACCCTCAAGGGACGTACAATCTAAGGTCCCTAACCCTCAAGGGGTGTACAATCTAAGGTCCCTAACCTTCAAGGGGTGTACAATCTAAGGTCCTTAACCCCCAAGGGGCGTACAATCTAAGGTCCCTAACCCTCAAGGGGTGTACAATCTAAGGTCCCTAACCCTCAAGGGGCGTACAATCTAAGGGCCCTAACTCACATTCATACATACACATACTAGGGACAATTTAGACAGGAGCCAATTCACCTACCAGCTTGTCTTTGGAGTGTGGGAGGAAACAGTACCCGGAGGAAACCCACGCAGGCACAGGGAGAACATGCAAACTCCATGCAGGTGGTGCTGTGGTTGGGATTTGAACCGGCGACCCGAGTACTGCCAGGTGGAAGTGCTAACCATTTAGCCACTGTGCTGTCCAGTTATGGAGTTGGGTATATTTCATAAATACCTGCCCTGACCCAAAGAGCTCCTCGTGCCATACAGATATCGGCCTTCTTGTCTCACATCCAATGCATTCCTCTTTTAAAGTTGCTAATGATAACGTGAGAATGCGTGGATCAGGGGAACTATTCGGATTGCCTTTTAGGGGTGAAGGAGTATTTTTTTTTTTCCTTTTGTAAGGAAAGGGGCCAGAGCTGCCCATGGGGGAAGAGGGGTGGACTTGAACTTTCAGCGTAACTTCAACAATTTTTTTTTTTTTTGCATTAACCACTTCCAGTCCGGACACTTTCCCCCCCTTCCAGTCCGGACACTTTCACCCCCTTCCAGTCCGGACACTTTCCCCCCCTTCCAGTCCGGACACTTTCCCCCCCCTTCCAGTCCGGACACTTTCCCCCCCTTCCAGTCCGGACACTTTCCCCCCCTTCCAGTCCGGACACTTTCCCCCCCTTCCAGTCCGGACACTTTCCCCCCCTTCCAGTCCGGACACTTTCCCCCCCTTCCAGTCCGGACACTTTCCCCCCCTTCCAGTCCGGACACTTTCCCCCCCTTCCAGTCCGGACACTTTCCCCCCCCTTCCAGTCCGGACACTTTCCCCCCCTTCCAGACCGGACACTTTCCCCCCCTTCCAGACCGGACACTTTCCCCCCCTTCCAGACCGGACACTTTCCCCCCCTTCCAGACCGGACACTTTCCCCCCCTTCCAGACCGGACACTTTCCCCCCCTTCCAGACCGGACACTTTCCCCCCCTTCCAGACCGGACACTTTCCCCCCCCTTCCAGACCGGACACTTTCCCCCCCTTCCAGACCGGACACTTTCCCCCCCTTCCAGACCGGACACTTTCCCCCCCTTCCAGACCGGACACTTTCCCCCCCTTCCAGACCGGACACTTTCCCCCCCTTCCAGACCGGACACTTTCCCCCCCTTCCAGACCCCCCCCCCTTCCAGACCGGACACTTTCCCCCCCTTCCAGACCGGACACTTTCCCCCCCTTCCAGTCCGGACACTTTCCCCCCTTCCTGTCCAGGCCAATTTTCAGCTTTCAGCGCTATCACACTTTGAATGACAATTGCGCGGTCATGCAACACTGTACCTATATGAGTTTTTTAGCATTTTTTTGAGACAGATAAAGCTTTATTTTGGTGGTATTTATTCACCACTTGGATTTTTTTTTTTTTTGCTATGTAAATGAAAATGTCCAAAAATTTTGAAAAGTGTTTTTCTTATAAAATTTTGCAAATAAATAATATTTCATCATAAATCTTGGCCAAAATGTATTCCGTCATCTTTTTAGTAAAAGATAACCTTTTTTGTTTTACATTTTTAATTTTTTTATAATTATTTGTGTGTTTTTTTTTTTACATACTGTCACTCTAGCAGTACAGTATCACCATGGTGACACTGTACTACTTGTGGGGGATGATGAAGATTTTTTTTTTTTTTTTTTTTACCCATAAAGGCTGTAAAATCAATCATTTCTCCTCTCTGGCATGTGACCTCTGTGATCATTGACAGATTTCACACATAGTAAGCAATGATGTGAGAAGTGACATCTTGCTTACTACTCTGCATGTGATCACTGATTGGCCAATCAGTGATCACATGATCGGGACCTCGCAGAGAGGTCCCCTATGACGACTGGTGTTCCCGTGTCCAGAGGACACAGTGGGCACCAGATCGCGGTGCTACGCGCTCCCGGGGAGCGCGCACAAGCAGGGTGCGGGGAGGCCGTTTATAAACAGCCACTTGACCCTGCACTGCCACCGTCCGGACGTTTATATACAACAGCCGGTCAGGAAGTGGTTAATGTGTATCTGTTGTTTATTTCTACCTGCGTCCATGTGAGAACTTTACCATCACTTCTCCCTATTAGGGACACAATGCCTTTTATCAATGAGAAGCCATCTTTTCAGCTCCTGTCCAGTGATTTTTGCCTAGGCTGAGATGATGTCATCAGTCTGCTGCAGGCAGGAGGAAGCATTTCTTCAGTCTCCTTTTCCCAGCGATCTGAATGTACATTGTAACTTTGTGTCAAGTCACAAGATGTGAGGCTTCAGCAGGGGCTGGTTTGTGTCGGACAAGAACATACAGCCAAGAGATGCTCAGCCACCAGGATTGTGTCACCTCTGAGCCAACATCTCAGTCCAGGAAGTACAGACAGAGCAATCTTTGAATACCTAATACCATCCTATCATCTAGAGATGGTGGAAGTCCTTCATGATGAGCACAGCAGGTGTACAAAGCTGGGAACTCAGCACGGGGATGGTGGGAACCCCTCATAATGGGCACAGTGGGTGTACAGACCCAGGAACTCAGCACAGGGATGGTGGGAACCCCTCGTAATGGGCACAGCAGGTGTACAGACCCCAGAACTCAGCACAGCGATGGTGGGAAACCCTCGTAATGGGCACAGCAGGTGTACAGACCCAGGAAATCAGCACATGCATGGTGGCAACCCCCCATAATGGGCACAGAGGGTGTACAGACCCCAGAGCTCGGCACATCAATGGTGGGAACCCCTCATAATAGGCACAGAGGGTGTACAGACCCGGGAACTCAGCACAGGGATGGTGGGAACCCCTCATAATGGGCACAGAGGGTGTACAGACCCGGGAACTCAGCACAGGGATGGTGGGAACCCCTCATAATGGGCACAGCAGGTGTGCAGATCCAGGAACTCTGTGAAAGCTCAATACTTTCCCCGAGACATAAAATAAACTGTCATGGGGTGTAAGTTCCCAGCATCTACCAAACACAAGTATCCGTTTTGGGTGGACTGGCCCTTTAACTCCAGTATGAAATGCTGCCATATTGAGGCTCCTGGTCTCCATGTAAATATAGACTGATAATGATACACCTGTCAGGTAATTGCTGTTTGTCTTGATTTTGGGTGTTAAAGGTCCAGCTCAGCACCGTGTTTTTCCTCGGCATGTCTTAGACAAGCCCAAGAAGTGAACTGAACACATCATTAAAATAGTTTGATAGAATTATGGCCTAGAAACACATGATGGGGTCAGCAGTCTTTCTTTTTTTTTTTTTTTCCCCTTCAATGCAGTGTTTTTTTGTTTCAACAAAGTTGTTAAAGAATAAGTTGTCTGGAGATGATTGGAGGCGACCTCGTACCATGCTATGCACAGGTGCTGCCTGGACAGTAAGGATCTGCAGTGCTGTGTGTGATTGGATGGAGAGCAGTGTTCATCTCTGAAGGGGGGTTATGATAGGCCAGTGCAAAAAGGCGGGAAAAAGGATAAGTGCACTTCATTTTAACCACTTGCCTACCGGTACTCTCACCCCCCTTTCTGTCCAGGCCACTTTTCAGCTTTCAGCACTCTCCCACTTTGACAATTGCGCAGTCAGGCAACACTGTACCCATATGACATTTTTATCATTGAGACAGAGCTTTCTTTTGGTGGTATTTAATCACATTTGTGTTTTTTTATTTTTTTGAAAAACAAACTAAAAACAACTGAAAATTTTGAAAAAAAAAATATTTTTTTTCTTAGTTTCTGTTATAAAATGTTGTAAATGAGTAATTTTTCTCCTTCACTGATGTGCGCTAATGAGGCTGCAGTGATGGGCACTGATGAGGAGGCACTGGTAGGTGGCACTGATGGGCATTGACAGGCATCACTGATGGGCACTGAAAGTTAGTATTGAAAGGCGGCACTGACTGGCACTGTTAGGTGGCACTGATAGGCGGCACTGAAAGGCAGCTCAGATGGGCACTGATATATGGCATTGATGGGCACTGACAGGTGGCATTGATGGCCACTGATGAGTAGGCACTGGTAGGTGGCACTGATGGGCATTGACAGGCATCACTGGTGGACATTCAGACATCACTGATGGGCACTGAAAGTTAGTACTGTTAGGTGGCACTGACTGGCACTGATAGGTGGCACTATAAGGCAGTTCAGATGAGCACTGACAGGTGGCGTTGATGGGCACTGACAGGTGGCGTTGATGGGCACTGACAGGTGGCGTTGATGGGCACTGACAGGTGGTACTGATGGGGCTACACTGATGATCAGTGCACCTGTCCCCTCTGAGGAATACGAATACTAGCTCTCCTCTCCTCACGAGCTGTGAGCGTGACAGCTCATAAGGAGAAAAATGCCAATAACCAGCATTTCCTTATTTACATGCGATCAGCTCTGATTGGACACAGCTGATCACATGACAGAGCCGAAGTCATCAGCTCTTTCCGCTGATCAGCATTGCCTCTTCATGTGTGCCTAGTGACTTGGTGCTGTACTATGCATCTGTGCGGTCATTTAGGGGGTCTTGTGGTAGAGGTTAGAAAGATGGTTGTTCAGCAGTGGTGGCAACCCACCTATATCTTTCATGGCAAGTGAAACCTACGGAGGGTGACTACACTTTTCAGAGTCTGTGGGTCTCTCCATTCCTCATATCCAAACAAAAGAGCAAACATGGAAACTAGTGCAGCTTACCAGTCCAGTGTTTCTCAACCTTTTTTCTGTCAAGGCACCCTTTAAAATCGTGGACAGTCCCGAGTCACCCTTTAAAATCGTGGACAGTCCCGAGTCACCCTTTAAAATCGTGGACAGTCCCGAGTCACCCTTTAAAATCGTGGACAGTCCCGAGTCACCCTTTAAAATCGTGGACAGTCCCGAGTCACCCTTTAAAATCGTGGACAGTCCCGAGTCACCCTTTAAAATCGTGGACAGTCCCGAGTCACCCTTTAAAATCGTGGACAGTCCCGAGTCACCCTTTAAAATCGTGGACAGTCCCGAGTCACCCTTTAAAATCGTGGACAGTCCCGAGTCACCCTTTAAAATCGTGGACAGTCCCGAGTCACCCTTTAAAATCGTGGACAGTCCCGAGTCACCCTTTAAAATCGTGGACAGTCCCGAGTCACCCTTTAAAATCGTGGACAGTCCCGAGTCACCCTTTAAAATCGTGGACAGTCCCGAGTCACCCTTTAAAATCGTGGACAGTCCCGAGTCACCCTTTAAAATCGTGGACAGTCCCGAGTCACCCTTTAAAATCGTGGACAGTCCCGAGTCCCCCCATTATGAAATGGGGTGCGTCAAGACTGTCCATCATTCTAAAAGAGCACCCCATTCTAAAATGTGTAAAACTATTCTAATAGTTTTATATAACGCAGCAACATTTATTCTTCCAAAGCAAATACACTTTTGTACACTGATACTGACTAGTATTCCAGTTTTCTCCCTCAGTTTTTCTCCATCACTGATCTCATGTGACCCCATCACTGATGGAGAGGGGGCGGGGGAGGGTAAACAAGGATGCCGTGCTGACAACTGACATCCTCCTCATCAACTGATGATGTCATTGGTTGTCGGGACGCTGGCAGCTAGAAGGACGTAATGGCGCACAATGAAAACCTGTGACTTGTGTAACTGAAAGGCAGGCTTGTTCCACCCGCTGGCTGGTATACAAGCTTTGGACAATTTTTAGACATTTTGACAAGGCACCCCTGAAGAAATCTCAAGGCACCCCAGGGTGCTTGGTCACCATAGTTGAGAAAGGCTGTACTGGTCCTTAGATAAACAATACTTTCGAAGGCCTAAGGAAGTGAAGTTTTTTGGGTTTTGTATATGTTTTCTTGGAGTTTTCCCCGCTCGTCTTTTGAGCTGTTTGTTGATAGTAGCCATCTCTTCCATTACATAAGTCAATAGTCTTCCTCTGACTTGCACTCACTGACCACTCTGTTAGTTAAAGCTCGAGTCCATAAAGAGGTGTCTGTAGCCGGCATCAATATACAGCTGGGAAACATAGATGATGTGCGGTTGGTAATAAGGGACCTAATGTGCGGCAAGAAGACATTCACTGCACCACTTCACCACCAGTCTGAATCATTGACACAAGACAGAATGGAGCCATGGATTCATACTTGGAATGCCAGATTTTGCATTGAAATTACATTTGAGCTAAATGGACGTCTTTGCACTTCCTTTGAATTCTTACCATAATTAGTTTAAAAGCACAAGTGCAGAAATGTGGCTTCAATCAGTGCAATGCTGACAGGCTCCAGGACACTTTACTGCTGTGCTTCAGCTGGAACATCGATTCATTTTCCCTCCAAGATGAATGTTCTGCTTCTGCTCCCAAGTTCTTTCTCTGGATTTCCTAAGGGGCTTGTAGGTAGGCCTGCTGGATAATTCATGCAAGCATTGCATAGCTCAGGGGTGCTCAATCCATGGTCCTCCACCTCAAACCAGGGTAGCACATGCACAGGGTTGGCAACCCGTTGAACGTGATCTGGGCTTGCCGAACCACCATCCCAGGGCATCAAAGTGCAGTGAGCCAGCGCCAAATCGGAGGAAGCAGGAGCCACATAAGCCGTTGCTTTGTGTACCGTCGGCTCCTGTCCCAGGTGGAGTTAGGCCCCATGTACACGGGACACTTCTGAACAATGGAAACTGACTGCTGGAAAACATAGGCTAAAAAAAGTATGTTTAGCCGTATTTGCATACCGCATTTATGTGCGTTTTGCGTTTAGAATCGTTTTTTAAAGATAAGCACAGGAGAACCTCCCAAATGCCCAGAATGCACTGAAAAGTGGTAAATTATGAACTATTTCAGACTGTTTCAGCAAAATACAGAGAGTAGAAGCAGAGACAGCAGTATGTGTTGAGATTAGCTTAGGTGTGAGTTGCTCATGAACATTTCTTTTGTTTCCAAGGGTGGGAAAGGTGTCTGGTGGAGGAGGTCATTAAGGCCACCTGGCAGGGGGTCTTCATGAGGAATTTGAGGTGTGAATGGTCATTAACATATCTTTTGTTTCCAAGGGTGGGAGAGGTCTGAGGTGTGAATGGTCATTAACATATCTTTTGTTTCCAAGGGTGGGAGAGGTCTGAGGTGTGAATGGTCATTAACATATCTTTTGTTTCCAAGGGTGGGAGAGGTCTGAGGTGTAAATGGTCATTAACATATCTTTTGTTTCCAAGGGTGGGAGAGGTCTGAGGTGTGAATGGTCATTAACATATCTTTTGTTTCCAAGGGTGGGAGAGGTCTGAGGTGTGAATTGGTCATTACAATGAGTGACAAGCTTGGTGGGAACATCCTGTGTTCAGTGTTTTGTCCATTTGAGTACCTTGAAAATGCTTTGCATGTATTTTTCATGATGAAAAAAGATTCTGGACAGCATCGGGAACTGGAAGAGTTAAAAAAAAAAAAAAAAAGTTAAGCTGCAAACACTTATAAACGCGATTTGCCGCGTTTACAAGCATTTTGCGTTTGAAACGCTGACAAAATCGATTGCTGAATGCAAGTTTTCTGCGTTCAAAAAAACGACTGTAACCTCAAATGCCTGTATAGGACGATGTGTACATGGAGACATAGGAGAACATTAGGGAGAGTTCAGGGGCTGCTGAAAAAAAAAACGCAGAACAGCTCCTAAACGTGAGTTTCAGCCGCAGTGTACATGAGCCCTTCTACCAAGCGCACTTTCCCTAGGACCTTTGTAGCAGCCTGGAGAGCGATGCCAGCAGAAGCTGGAAGATGAAAAGCAGGTCAGTGTATTAAATATCACATAAATTGTATATCTATAAAAGGGATAACTATTGGACTGCTTTCACGCTGATCTGCTGGTGCAGCGCAGTCGCCTGTAGATTTCCTGCAGGTTAGCGGCACTGAGCCACAGACGTCTATCATATCCTGAGGGTTTGATGCGCTTTCTGAAAATGCACCAAAACTTTTGAATGCAGGAGATTTGGTGCGCTGTCAGAAGGTGCACCACACCCGCTAGATGTAATAGAAGTCTGTGACACAGTGCAGCTAACCTGCAGGAAAGCCATCGGTGCACTGCTCAGGGCCTGTGGTGTGCGCAAACCACAGTGCATCCGTATGAGAGCATCTTTATAGAGGGCTCAGGACAGTAAAGGCTCGGTCCTCTGAGCTTCACTTTTCAGGGGTGCAGCTGTATTAGCGGCATGTCTAAGGGCCCTTTCAATCCCTCCACTGGCTTCCCATTGCCCAACGGATAAAATTCAAAACATTAACAATAACATTTAAAGCCATTTATAACTCTGCCCCAAATTACATCACCGATCTTGTCTCCAAATATCACCCAAACCATACTCTCCGCTCCTCGCACAACCTCCTGCTCTCTAGCTCCCTTGTCTCCTTCTCCCATGCTCGTCTCCAGGACTTCTCCAGAGCTTCCCCCATCCTCTGGAACTCTCTACCCCAATTTATCAGACTATCGCCTATTCTGCTCACTTTTAGGTGATCTCTGAAAACCTCTCTCTTCAGGGAAACCTATACTGCCCTCAGCTAATAATGGAATCTTTTACTCTTCCAGTCCATTCCCCACAGTTACTACCTTTAGTACCACTAGCCCCTCCCTCTTAGATTGTAAGCTCCCAGGATCAGGGCCCTCCTATCCCTCTTGTGTTGAACTGTATTGTTGCTGTAATGTCTCCCTTTATATTGTAAAGCGCTGAGCAAACTGTTGGCGCCATATAAATCCTGTATAAATAATAATAATATATGAATCCTGTATAATAATAATAATATATATATAAATCCTGTATAATAATAATATATAAATCCTGTATAATAATAATATATAAATCCTGTATAATAATAATAATATATAAATCCTGTATAATAATAATAATAATATATAAATCCTGTATAATATAATAATATATAAATCCTGTATAATAATAATAATATATAAATCCTGTATAATAATAATATATAAATCCTGTATAATAATATATCTAATAATAAATAAATCCTGTATAATAATAATATATAAAATCCTGTATTATAATATATAAATCCTGTATAATAATAATATAATATAATAAATATAAATCCTGTATAATAATATAGAAATCCTGTATAATAATAATAATAAATCCTATAATAATAATCCTGTATAATAATAATATATAAATCCTGTATAATAATAATAATATAAATCCTGTATAATAATAATAATATATATAATCCTGTATAATAATAATATATAAAATCCTGTATAATAATAATAATATAATAATAATAATAAATAATATATAAATCCTGTATAATAATAATATATTTTTATTTATTTATTTATTGAGTTTATACATCAACAGTAACATCAAACAGCACACAAGGGGTAAGAGGACCCTACTCTTTCGAGCTTACAATCTAGGAGGGAGGGGGTAGAGGTACAGGAGGAAATGGCTGTGGGGGATGGAGTGGTAGGAGGAGGGAAGGGCAAGGGCATATATATGAATATATATGAATCCTGTATAATAATAATAAAATAATAATAATATAAATCCTGTATAATAATAATATATAAATCCTGTATAATAATAATTTACATTTGCAGTTTGGGGGTGATAAACCTCCATAGTTAAGATGTGTTTTTACCACACCCCTCCAACCACTGGTGTAGCATCAGGGGTTACAATGGCAACCCCATCCCATGCTCCAGGGGTGTTTTACACTTGGACAGGAGGGGCAGCGGGGGCACCATATACAGGAACTCCTGGCTTTAAGTATAGGGCACAAGGGAGAAATGAAACGTGGACGTGACGTGATGGAAGCCAGGTAGGAGGATAGCAGAAGGTGACGTCATTATGTTGTCCTGGGTCTGTGGTGCTATCGGACAGTAATTGTGTCTGAGGATTGAACCGTAAGTTGGGGGTCGCACTCATTGCTTGACATTACCAGAGGGCTGCACATAAGGTATGTAGTGTTGGAGAGGACAGTCAGTGACTGAAGATATACTTGAGGAGTTGATGGTCAGAGACCGTGGTCATGCTAAAGGATTGTTGGGGACTGGAGGCTTTCTACAGAAAACAGTGAGCGATGGGGACGGGATACATGGGATTAGTAACGATCAGTACTATTACTTCATTGCAAACCAATGCTGCCACTATAGACTGATGGGTTCCAAGGGCCACACAAGTGTCAAAGAGCCACAGGTTGGGCACCAGAGGTTTAAACGTTCATTGTGTAAGTTGCCTGTGTTTCGTCTTGGGCCATCCAACACTTAGAGGTCAGTCTTTGGTCGTGGTCCTTCTGTGTCTTTGGCATGTGGTGGGTGAGGAGCACCTTAAATAATGAGTATTATGACTTTATGGTAGGGATGCACCGATACAGGATTTTTTTTTTTTTTATCGACGATACCGGGTACCGATACTTTCTGTCAAGTTCTCGCCGATACCGAGTACTGATTACTTTCTGTCAAATACTCGCCGATACCGAGTACCGATACTTTCTGTCGAGTACTTGCCGATACCGATACTTTTCTGTCGAGTACTTGCCGATACCGAGTCTTTCTGTCGAGTACTTGCCGATACCGAGTCTTTCTGTCGACCGAGTCTTTCTGTCGAGTACTTGCCGATACCGATACTTTCTGTCGAGTACTTGCCGATACCGAGTCTTTCTGTCGAGTACTTGCCGATACCGATACTTTCTGTCGAGTACTTGCCGATACCGAGTACCGATACTTTGCGTTTAATGGATGGAAATTACAACACAAAAAATAGCATGTGATTCCTGTCCAAATCGTATGCGGTGTTCCCAATGCTCCTGTGTGAACCCAGGCTTGCCCCCATTCACACAGGATCGGTGTGGGAGACCTCCCGGCAGGCATCCCATGCTGAGTGTCAGTGGTAGGAGAGGAGAGCAGCTGACCAATCAGATGCCGTCTAGCCCGACCTGTCATTGGTGCAAGGAGAGGAAAGAGAGCGGTGGGGATTTCAAATCTCCTCTCCTTTTATTGGCATTATTGATAAAACTCCAAAACATATAAGCCACCCCGTTTAGAGGGTCCAAGATGTCCCTTCTTCAGGGTGAGCACATGTAGAAGGAAATGGACAATGTAACATTCATTATGATGAAAACATTGAAGCTTCCACAGGCCAGCTGAGGTTGTATTACCGTCTTCCCTTTATGCCTCTTCAGTGTTTTATTTGTTCTTTTCACCAGAGCATACCTTTTATTTGTAACAATGAACATACATGTGGAAACGACCACAATGCACGCATATCGTGTCAGTTACTGAAACTGTATATTTGGATGGGGATCCGAATAAAGCCTCTATTGTTCTAATCTCTCTGCTGTACATCCTGCCTTTCTCTGGCGGCTCCTCAGTGACCCAGTTACTACTGGCCTGGGAGATGCTTTGCAGGAAAGTAGATGGAGTGAATGGCAATCTTGTGGATCCGTTCACCTCTGACCTGCAGGATTCCACACCGTATTAGAGATGGACCCTTCTCAGACTTGAAGGTTTTGCAGCGGACCGGCCTGACCGCATGTTGTCTGATTTTTGTTCTGGAAAGCTGCACCCTACTGCCTTGCTAGCTAATTTATTTTACTGTTCGACTTACTTATTGGGCAGCACAGTGGCTAAATGGTTAGCACTCCGCCTGGCAGTACTCGGGTCATTGGTTCAAATCCCAGCTGCGGCACCTCCTGCCTGGAGTTTGCATGTTCTCCCTGTGTCTGTGTGGGTTTCCTCCGGGTACTCTGTTTTCCTCCCACACTCCAAAGACATGCTGGTAGGTGAATTGGCTCCTGTCTACATTGTCCCTAGTATGTGTATGTATGAATGTGAGTTAGGGACCTTAGATTGTACGCCCCTTGAGGGTTAGGGACCTTAGATTGTACGCCCCTTGAGGGTTAGGGACCTTAGATTGTACTCCCCTTGAGGGTTAGGGACCTTAGATTGTACGCCCCTTGAGGGTTAGGGACCTTAGATTGTATGCCCTTTGAGTTAGGGACCTTTAGATTGTACGCCCCTTGAGGGTTAGGGACCTTAGATTGTACACCCCTTGAGTTAGGGACCTTAGATTGTACCCCCTTGAGGGTTAGGGACCTTAGATTGTACGCCCCTTGAGGGTTAGGGACCTTAGATTGTACGCCCCTTGAGGGTTAGGGACCTTAGATTGTAAACCCCTTGAGGATTAGGGACCTTAGATTGTACGCCCCTTGAGGGTTAGGGACCTTAGATTGTACACCCCTTGAGGGTTAGGGACCTTAGATTGTACGCCCCTTGAGGGTTAGGGACCTTAGATTGTACACCCCTTGAGGGTTAGGGACCTTAGATTGTACACTTGAGGGTTAGGGACCTTAGTTTGTACGCCCCTTGAGGGTTAGGGACCTTAGATTGTACGCCCCTTGAGGGTTAGGGACCTTAGATTGTACGCCCCTTGAGGGTTAGGGACCTTATATTGTACGCCCTTGAGGGTTAGGGACCTTAGATTGTACGCCCCTTGAGGGTTAGGGACCTTAGATTGTACGCCCCTTGAGGGTTAGGGACTGAT